TTCACCATCGCGTTCAATCTCTATTTTCAAATGCTTATAATACGTTAAATTCTCATCGATACTGTTGATATTGTAGTAATAGCGATCATTCGTCATGCGCACTGCAAATTAATATCTTCTCGTCCAGAACCTCCTCGGGATTGTTGCTTTGAAGAAGTCGATACCAGTTGGATTCACCCGTACAGAGTACTTATTCCAAGGTTTCATCAAACCTTTTTGTTGACCACTCCAAAGGTCCATAATGAAATATCCGGCTCGATTTCTCAAGCCAATACTCGCAAGTCCAAAACTAACATCCTGAAAACGAACATAAAGTTATTGAACAATCACAGTGCATGTATCGTTGAATATCTGAAGTTCTTTCATGCAAAATGACTCATTCCATATAATGTCCCAGAAGTTGAATTCAATAATCATTAAAACTAATCATCTGCACGTGTGGATTACGATTAAGAATTGCGACAGCGTAAGAATACTGATTCTTCGCATAGTCGACAGGTGTCATCGGCTTCACGTATATACCAATATCGGTTGTCTAAAAACCAATTTGGTTATTTCTGAAAATGGAAGAGCAAGCAAGCAGTCGCTACCTGATGAATGTTACACTGCCAGAAACGAACACGTAAATTCCCTCAATCCGAACATTTCAAACCAATTTAGATTGAAACAATCAAAAAGAGAAATTTAGATATTCTCTAGCTCTGAACTGATTGCGCTTACGATGGTATCACCTCACGAAACTAATAAATTTTCTGATTTTAGACTGTTCAACATGTTCAAGAAGAGATTTCTTTTTGGATTCTCACGATGAAATCGACAACCGTTCAGATGACATGAAAGCTAGATGAGTGACGACTCACGTTTGCAACCAGACGTCCCATAATGCCGAGTGGATCCTGATCAACAGCGATCACGTACGGATTCAGAAGGATATTCCTGAAGATGGGTGCTATCAGCCGGAGATCATTGGACATGATCAATGGTGACGACCATATCGACCAAATACTCATTTGAACTTTTGCTTGATCCGGTGTGATTTCGTTGTTACCGACAATTATCTGAATGTCAAAGTTCGATACTGAGACATAAACATTTGAACAGTTATTCGGAACTGTCCAATGGAAGAGTTTGTTCGAATGCGATCATTCGGCATTAGCACAAAAATTCCGTGAAGCGACGTAATAACGGTTCACTCGATTTTTTGTATCAGAAGAAAAAGTGCGATTTCTTTGAAAGATTTTGTTACGGAAACAATCAACGCTGAATGTTTGAAAATCAACAGAAAGATCAGAATACAGTGCGAAATTTGTTGATCGCCTAGGAATTTCATTAGCATAATTGGATTGTGGGTCGTGAATCGCCTCCGTGCAACCAACCAACCAACCAACCATATCAGGATCATGCCAACGTCCAGGACCTTGCGCTGGAATCAGTTTGTCTTGATTGTGGTCGTAATAATCGATGATTCGTTTGATCGACCACCACGATCTCGATATGTCATCGAAATTTCGCCATAAATTACAGTGCTTACCGATTAAATTGTAATCCACCTGAATACAGCCAAATAAAGCGACAATGCTTGATTATTTTGACCGGATCAATTCGCTTACTGCAGTAATTTGAAAGCGGTTTTTCTCATTCACCTCTTAAAGATAGGGTAGGGAATTCAATCGAGCATTCTCTCTACTCCACCTATTTGTATTCATAGATCAGTTTGGATTATAATTCAAGTTGATTTCCTGATGAATAACTAAAGTATTGACCATTTCTGGATATGAAATCATATACGCTGGCCAGCTACACGAATAAACAATTGGACGACGCGTCAGATTCAGTTCCTTTCCCATTTCAGCATAACCTGTAAACATGACGCATCATCCCTACATACTATGACAACGGTATCGCAAGCAAGTCAAATGAACTAGATTCCGGACCGCTGAACCTCGAGATAACATTTCAGTGCAGAAGGCACAGAAATCATGAATATTCGTATTAGTTTTACTCTGGTTGAATTGATCGCCTTTAATAACTAATTATTTTGGATTATGGATTGCATTTGCCTCGAAATTTTGGAGAGAAATGTAGAATCTATTTGCTGATTTGGACTAGAATCAGCTTAGCCTGGCAAAAGTCAATTTTATCAAACCAATTAAAAGTGTAAAATACACTAGATTCGGAAATCATTAATCCATGATGAAAGAACACAATAGTCTCTTTGGAATCGAGTNTGGAAGTCAATGAAGAAAGCAACCTTGGGGCATCATATGAATGTCGATATTACAACCATCCAATTTCAAATAATCAACTTTCCAATCGGCAAATGTTTGTGCATCAGTCTTCAAGTAACCATAACTTCCCGGAAAGCCAGCGCAAGTTTTGGTTCCATAATCCTGATAGATACCTAACTTGAGACCACGATCATGCATCTGAAATAAAGAAACACTTGTTGAATTTGTGAGCATGGATATCTTATTTCCGAGCTTGTCATGTTTTGCCACTTGAATCGAAACCTCTAAACTGCTTGAAATTTCTCATTCGGAGCACAGGCGAATCGAATCAACGGAGCTCATGATAGCTGAGAAATTGGTCATTTGACGTGCATCGAGGAATACAAATTCTCAGTTCAATCGAGCGATCGAGCTTGGTGTTGACTGTTGTTGAACGAAGGCGATGGAAGCGAACACTAACATAATCAGCAAGTGCTGCGATTCCACTCGCAAATCGTTTTCTATCGGCAATCAATCGCCCTTCTGAATCCCGTTCATTTTCCATCCAGCAATCATCAATATGTACGCTCCTATAGCCGGCTTGGGCATAGCCATCTTCGTCTAGAATCAAAACAATTTAGAACGTTTTCTGGTTTTCCATGTGTGCAAGACTTTCAGTTTATTGTCAATGTTCAGGTCTGTATGAAGTTCTCAAACCGTAACGCTATCCAGTACGGTTTTTCGTACTTCTCAGTTTTCCAGTAGAGTCTCATACTTCACCAACGCCCACTACAAACTTTTTTCCTACTAGTCAAGCATTCTGTTGCATGATAATTGATTATTTCTATTCGAAGAAAACCGCATTTCACTCAAATTTTTACGCAGTTGAATGTTCATAAACGCTTCTCACATAATCGATCAGCCATATCCATGTAGAGGTGTTCACTGATACAAGAATACGGATATCTCACGCAATCCATTTGACAGTAGAATTTTGCCCATGACATCCAGCCCATTGGCGGGGTCCTGGAATGGACAAAATCTTGGTTTGCCTCTTTTGAGCAATGCCAGCTGAACTGCTTCTACACAGTACGATAGACTAAAAAATCCTCTTGTGTTGCAAACTGTGTTAACCTTATCCAGAATGTAACTTCTGTCGACCGCTGAATGCTGCACTTTAGAAGTAACGAATGTAATTTGCAAACCATTTAATGAAATTATCATGGAAATCCCAATTTTTTGGGTTTTATCGACGAATTTGCATAGGAACTATGTCACAGCTGATCCTAACACATTGAAGGA